GCACCCGGGGGGGGATGGAGCCTGAAAGGGGGAAAAGAGCCGAGGGGCGCTCGCTCCCTCACCAGTTGGCCGGGCTTCCGGAGGCCACGACGCGGCTATAGGCCTCCTGCAGCGCCGGCCCGTTCCGGCTCAGGTTGAGCGCCATGGAGGAACCGCCTCAGCCTCGGTCTCACTCTCAGCCTCAGCCGCCGCCTTGCTCTCTTCTTCCAGCGCCGGCTCGACCTTCACAAGGCTTGCTTCCGGCTCCGCCCGGCCTGGCGCTGCCTGGAGGAGACCTGCGACGGCGGCGGCTGTTGCTGCTGCTGCTGCTGCTGCATCGGGGCGAGGACGGCCCAGGCAGGAGGCGGGCGGATTCCCCGCCTCCTGGAGGCCAGGCACGCCGGCGAGACTCGTCGGGGATGCGCCCCAGGGAGCGCCTCGGAGGGGGGCCCGCGGGGTGGTCTGCCCGGGGCGAAAGTGCCCCGAACCTCCGGGTGAAAGGCGACCTCGAACCGCCCTAAACAGGGTTCCTGCCTTGAGCAGCGGGTTGGGCTCGATGGCCTTAGAGGCCCCTTTCCGCTCAGTTAGGCTCCCACTGAGACAACGAGGTGTAGCGGCTGCTTAGCTTCGTTGGGTAGGATGGGCTGGCAATTTAGTTTAAAACGCTTTGTGTGTTTAGTATTCTGCCCTAAGCTAGTTTAAAATGTTTTTAAAAACAATCCTAACAGCATATTCGTATAAGTCTTTTCAAGTTTAGTGGGGCTTTATTCTCTAGTGGCTGAAATGCAGTAGTAAGTTGTGACTAAAGTAGGGCCACTGATTCGATGGGGATTTGGTGAGTTCACTCCTTTGTAAATTTCATTGATTTACAAGTTACAGTTGTAACTTACTACAGTACTGATTATCAGCCAGCGAGGGTTTTCCAAAGGAGTAGTTGTAATCTTGTTGCAGCAAAATCTAGAATCCTGTAGCAACTTAATATCCAGTTCTTGTGCTGTAGCAATAAAGGATGTTGTTACACAGTTGAAATAAATTTGGAGGTGGATCAGAGATTTTGAAGTTGATTTAAAGTCCCATGGTAGTCACATGTTTTTGGGTCACTGTGTTCCTCCTTCTGGGAAAAGTTTTCATTTGTTTTTAAGCGGCTGTGTTGCGTATTGATCAAGGGGGGCTAAACAGGCTTTTCAAATGGTTGCATCTGAAACTTTGCCCTGTGGCCACCCACCCTTGGTGCTGGATGCCTCTCGCAGCCTCAAACTGTTACTGCTGTGGTGTGTTTTTTTTCATTTTTTAAAAAATTTCTTGCAATCTGGCATAGCGCTAGTTCACTATGATATATAGGGGGAAAAATTAAAACAGAGGCTTCCCTGCAGCCCAACACACAGACACGAACAGACAGATAGACACAGAAAGGAATGCCTCCCTTCCCCACCACCCCAGCAACTTTTCTCCCGATGCTGGCTCTCTTTTCAGATCAGATTGCAAGGCTTTCCTTCACAAGTGCTTGTGAGAGGCAGCCAGTGCAAGGGTGGGCAGGCGCAGGACAAAGGCTCAAATGCAGTGAGCATGCGGACAAGTGATGTGGACATTACTTGATAAAGCTGACAAACACCGTTTACTCCAGCACCGGTGAGCCCACATACGCAATCAAGTTAAAATAAGCAACCACTCAAGGCTGTTTAAAATACCTCACTTTCCAAACAAACAAAAAACACTCCCCCCCCAAAAAATGTGCTCAGCTGTATGTTGTGTAAACAGATATTTTTAAATCTGTTTCAAACGTGCTAAACCAGGTGTAAACTCGGGAGTATTTTAGCATGTAACCACACCCAAAGATGCCATGGGATTTTTGTCATTTTTTTCCCTCAGTACTGTAAATATATTTAGATTTCTGCTGTAATTAAATTAAAAATATTGCTATAAACACATATTCCTGAGGTAATTTTTATCCAGGGACTTTAGGGGTGCTGGGCCACCGACAAAGTATGGACATGATAAAACAATATCAGACAGAGGGGAAAAAATCCTTAACTACTAAATGCTATATTTGAGCTTTCATGAGCCAAATGCTCTTCTTTAAGTTGCCACGTCTTTTTCTTCTTTATTTTTTTTTGTTTTTACTTTCATTTTATTTCTTCTCTTATATGCTTGCACAGACTAACATAGCTACTGCTTCAAAACTGACAAAACAATGTAATTTCTTTCATTTTTAAGTATTACAGGTATTTTTAAAAGTGGAAAAATTGAATGTAAACATCAATAACCTTGTTGTTGTTGTTTAGTCGTGTCCGACTCTTTGTGACCCCATGGACCAGAGCACGCCAGGCCCTCCTGTCTTCCACTGCCTCCCAGAGTTGGGTCAAATTCATGTTGGTAGCTCAATAACCTTACCAAAATCTGTTTCCCTGAAAATAAGATCCAACCTGAAAATAAGGCCTAGTATGATTTTTCAGGATGTTTGCAATATAAGCCCTACCCCAAAAATAAGCCCCAGTTAAGTGAAACCTCACCCTCCACCCTTGTGTAGTAACCAGAAGAAGTTACGTAAAATAAAACATCGCCTGAATATAAGCCCTAATGTGTTTTTTTTAAAGCAAAAATTAATATAAGACCCTGTCTTATTTTGGGGAAAACACGGTATACTAAGCCATTGACAAAATAAAATTCCAAAATTTATAAATATTAGTCATATTTTTTAAAATATTTGTAAACCTACAAGCCAAAAAACAAAGGCACTTTGATGGGGGGGGGGAGAGGAATTAAAAATACATATAGATATAATGGAGAAGTAATTCTTAATATTTGAGAAGTATGAATGTATTTTGCAGATAATAAACTGAAAAAAATGTTATTGTTTTATGTTTCAAAATAAAGACTGAGCTGCACATGAAGTGGACTGTCATGTGTTATCTTGGTACTGTTCACGTGGATTAAAAACAGATGGACCTACTGAGGAGCTTCCAGACAGACATCTCATGTCTTTAGGGTAACGGGACAATGACCTGCTTCTAACTACCATAGATCCCACCAGAAACAAGAGCAACTGTCAGCATACATGTCGCTTTAGAAGAGATAGCTGTTTTAGTCTGTTGTAGCTTATCAAGCAAAAGCAAAGCAAACATAAAAAATAAAGACGACAGAAGAACTTTCGGGGACAAACGGTGTCTGAGGAAGCAGACTTGTCCACAAAAGCTCACATTGAAATATAGCAGTTAGTCTTTGTGGGGCTACATTTTTGTCTTTTTGTTTTCCTTTTGTTTTTGCTTCCTATAAATACCATACAGTCCTCCAGACTTGTTAATAAATGCATCTGGCCATCAATACCCATGGAGGAGCCACCATCAATTGAAGGATGAGAAAATGTTTTCACATGTGATTTGAAAAAATTATGAAATGTGTCTCTCTAACTAAGAGTATTTGTCTTTAGGAAGTGGAAGTAAGTTATGTAATCCCTGCCACACTGATTAAAGCAGTATTTAGACTCTCCGCTAGGTGGGAGAATTGCTCCTACAGTATTGTTGTGTTTTTCCCCCACAAAATTGAAACAGTCACATCAGCACAGGATGACATATTGCTGTATTTTTAGTTCTTGTGGTGAACTTAGTATTAGTATTTTGGAAGTATTTTGGAAGTGTGTTACCCTGAAGTAACACACTTTCAAAACAGAGGTTGTCTAGCACATTCTGTTTTAAAAGATCCCTGTAGTAGGAAACTATATGTAAGGAAATACATCAAGCCTCAATCAGCATCCTGGGTTCCTACTGAAAGACAGGGCCAGTCTAATTCACTGATAGAATCAGAGACGGAGGAGCAGATCATATGATAGAGGTAGCCTGCCATTAAGCAGCTAAAATCCATTAGTGTTCTGGTCAGATACTTTCAGCAGCCACAGAATTCCCGCTTCTTACTACAGGCTATACTGTAGCCTGCAGAAATTGGCAAAGATGTTTGCATCATGACCTGGGTTGAGCAAGTTGGAATGCGTATAATAATCCCTGAATCTAGACCTCCTGAGTCCATACCCCTGGAATCTTAAATTCCACCCCAGAAAAACTGATCCTTTTCACACTAGGGACCCCACATCTCTAGGTCCACTTTCTAGGCAGGCCACCAGCCTGGAGAGAAGCCAGTTTAAGGCTTGTTATCATTCAAGGAAGAGTAACTGACTGGGGGGAGATTAGCCAGGTTCCCAAACTTTTTTGCCCCATAAACCACTTGCCAACATTTGTTTTCCCTAGACCCCCTGCCCCCTGCAAAGCTTTGATACAAGTCTAAACTTGCACCCCTGATTTTTTTTCCTCTCTGACGTGGACCCCCTGCAAGTCAAAATTGACCCCTGGGGGGTCCATATAGACTCCTTTGGGAACCTAGTCCCTGCTCACTTGGAGCCAGTTTTGCTGTGGGATTCTGGGACCTGTAATCCAGAAACCAAGTATGACCCATCTACTATCATTTTTGGTATCTGCCCCAGTAGCATTCATGTAGATGATGCTGAATTGATTATGGATCTTATGTCAACTGCTTTCTTCCAAGTTATTTTTTCTCCCTCTACTGTAGCTCACTGCTGTGCTTACTGGGAATGGGTTCTGGGAGTTGAATTTGGAAAAATAGCATTTGCAGACATCTGAATAACAGAATCCTGAGTTTGCATTAGTAAGCTGTTTGGCATGTCATTCATTAGCATAAACATTCCTCAAGAAAGCATAACCAGCCAATTCCAATTAATTCTGAAAGTGGCTTTTACCTTCTCTTTTAGATTCATGTCAAATATTTGGCTGCTCTGTTAATTAGTTCAGGATGGTAGCAGAGATAGAGAGAGGGAGGGGGAAAGTTATCAGATTGCTTCAACTGATTAAGATAAACCTGTTGGTCTTGTTGAGTGAAATATCTCTTGATCTGGAAATTTTGACATTTAAATTAACTATCTGGGATAAGATAAATATACTTAAAATGCACATATTACTGTGTATTCTGTATTATTTTAAGAAATATATATGAAGAATTTTGTTTCTTCATTTTCATTTAGGAAGATGCAACTGCCATTTCCATAAGATGGATTCAACTGCTGGATGTGACTCTGTATTATAAGACATATATTTTGGCATGTAGACACTATTGGCAAACTTATTCCAATCCAGCTTCGTGAGCAACCATTAAATGAATCTATTTCACCTTCGTTTTTTCCTGGATCACTTTAGATTCCCTCTCCTACAATTTTGATAGCCAGGGCGGCTTTGCATATACAGTGGTGCCCCACATGACAACAATAATTTGTTTCCCTGAAATTGCTGTACAGCGAAATCGTAGTCATGCGAAAACAGTTTCCCCATTGGAATGCATTGAAAACTGGTTAATGCGTTCCAAT